AGTATGATAGAGAAACTTGCTCAGTATACTGATATTCGATGTTGTCTGATTGTTGGCGGGCTTTCGTTAAAGGTTTGACCTATTGATTTCCTTACTTAGCCGGCTTAATTTGCACTCATTTTATGTACAGGAAAAAATTATATGTCTGATCCTTTCAGCACACTTTTTAGGTCTTTCTTTAACTCACTTGAAACTTCCTCCATTATTATGAAAAATCTATGATCATCCTTATCCATTTTCTTAAACGTTTGACTGGTTTGTGGAACTTTTATCATTGATGCTCTCAGGATTACTAATAAAATCACTATTTTTTTCAGATAAATCCACTATGCTTTTTTGAGAGCCTGTTTATTTGGAAGTTGATGTTAACAGTTTGTCGAATTATTTGAATTCGTATGCTTACATTGTCTTCTTTTATTTCATGTCGTCTTGATAGGCACAAGAGACAGCTTTGAGATTAATGCCTGACATTGTTGTGGCTACTCCTGGACGCATGATAGATCATTTACGGAATACAATGTCTGTGGATTTGGATGATCTTGCAGTTTTGATCCTTGATGAGGCAGATCGTCTTCTGGAGCTCGGATTCAGCGCTGAAATTCATGAGTTGGTAACTTATCCCAATCAAGTTTCTTCTTATATGAGTTGTTTTTATAAGTGGTTCAAATTTCTTAGATGACAGGGAAGAGTAGTTTGTTCATGAGTCATGACTTCTGACTTGATGGATTTTGTCTAATTCTTATGAGGAGTAAGATGCAAAGGTAAAACAGAACTGTTATCCATATTAGAATTTATATCTTTATCAATAGATGAAATGTTTACCAAAGTTGGATCAAAGATGAATTTTAACTAGTAGATACACATAATTGAGTTCCCTTTTATAGTAATAGTTTCTCTTCCTAACGTACCATGTTATATTTTTCTGCATTGAATTGATATCCGTTTCTGTGGATTTGTATGTTATATAATGCAACTTATATATAGGTTCGGCTTTGTCCTAAAAGGAGACAGACTATGCTGTTTTCAGCTACAATGACTGAAGAAGTTGATGAGCTTGTCAAGCTTTCTTTGACCAGACCCTTACGTCTCTCAGCTGACCCATTGGCTAAATGACCATCAACATTGACCGAGGAGTAATTTCTTATAATTTCAGTCTATTTTGCTTGATAATTTCCCATTTTGTGTGTTTTGACTATGTTATCTTTGTTATTTCTTGTTAGGGTTGTAAGGATATTCCGAATGCGTGAAGTAAATCAAGAAGTAGTCCTTCTGTCACTGTGCTCAAAGACTTTCACTTCCAAAGTGATTATCTTCAGGTTATTGTTACACATGTAGATGACTGTACTGATTTAATATTTCGATAGGATACACATGTTTGGATAGTATCATATTTCTCAAATCAGTACACTTGTTCTGAGGGGGAAAAAGATCCATAGAGAAAATACGCTATGTTTCTCTGTTGTTTCGGTTAAATTTATGACAAGGTTTATTTACTAACCAGTTTTATGTCACAGCCATATTAGTGGGCAAATGCTTATGACTTTAGAAATGACATTCCATCTCATTTGGCAGTGGAACCAAGCAAGCTGCCCATAGATTGAAGATTATATTTCAGTTGGCTGGTCTTCAAGCAGCTGAGCTTCATGGAGATCTTACTCAAGTTCAGCGCCTTGATGTGAGTAAATGCTATTGTTGTTCTTTAGTTCCTTCTCTTTCTTTTAATCATTATTATTATTGGACTCAAGTTCAGCACCTTGATGTGAGTAAGTTATATTGTTCTTTTTCCCATTCTAACCAATTATGGTTTGTTTAGGCTTTGGAACGTTTTAGGAAGCAGGAAGTTGATTTTTTAATTGCCACTGATGTGGCTGCTCGTGTAAGTAGCTGCACTGAAACTCATCCCTTGCACTTATGCATCTACTCTTCACATGTTCATGCATACATCTAAGCAGCAGCAGTTTTGTTTTCTAACACATGCTTCTGAATGGTTGCAATGTGTAGGGACTTGATATAATTGGTGTTGAGACCGTCATTAATTATGCTTGACCTCGAGATATGACAAGGTAGATCCGCATTCTTTGAATTATGTTTGACCGGCATGCATCATTATTCTGTTATCATTAATAATTTGTGCTACATATGTATATATATATATATATATTGATGTGCACTGTGATTTATTGCAATGGCTTGACTCTATTGTTTATACTTTATGCAGTTATGTTCACCGAGTGGGTCGGACTGCAAGAGCTGGTAGAGAAGGATATGCTGTTACATTTCTTACTGACAATGACCGATCTCTATTAAAAGCTATTGTAAGTGATGGTCATCCTGGTCTGCCTTATTTTCCCAGCCTAGAATAGACATTCAGGATTGAAATTTTTTGTGAAAGTGATTATGCATGTTAATATTGGTTCTGATCGTGGTAAAGAATCATGCTGGGCTTAATAAATGGCAAGATTAATTATGAAACTTTGAATTGCAAAGGTGCTTTATTTCCAAATATGTCGTTCTCACTCCGATACCTTCTTAAACTTAAATTTCATAAAAAAATATGAAACAGTTTGCCCAATTGGAGTAAGTATCTGGACATTTCCTGTTAGAAATTTGAAAATTCTTCTTTTAACTCTATATGGTGGTTTGTATCGGACAGGCAAAGAAGGTAGGTTCTAAGTTGAAGAGCCGGATTGTTGCGGAGCAGTCTATTGCTAAGTGGTCTCAGAAAATAGAGGAGATGGAAGAGAAAGTCACTGAAGTTATTGAAGAGGAGAGGTTTGGTTTGTTTCATTTTCAAGGTTATTTCTTTCTCTTTATACAACTATTATAGCTTCTGATTTTGGATTTTGTCAGGGGTGAGCGAGCCCTAAGAAAGGCGGAAATGGAAGCTACAAAGGTGGGTGATCTGCACATTTTCATGCTATTTATACCTAGATGTCTGGATTGTATAGTTCTAAAGTACTGATTCTGCTCTTTATGTTATTACTTGTCTTTATTTAATTGTTCAATGGCTTTCTGGCAGTACCATTTTCAGATCCTGGTGAATTTTTTATTTTATTTTGAGACTTCATGCTTTAGTATGTTTAACCTTATGTTCTTGTGTTGCAAGGCTGAAAATATGATTGCACATAAGGATGAAATTTATGCACGACCTAAAAGAACCTGGTTTAGGACTGAAAAGGAGAAAAAACTTGTAGCAAAGGAAGCAAAGGTGAAATTTTGATTTTCATGTATTGCTGTCACTAGTCTATAAGCTAATGGAATTTTTATCAAAAACCACTTTTGTGTTTAGCTACCGTGATGTGAAATTATCTCTTCGAATAGGCATCTGTGGAGAAGGAAAAAGATTACAGTAATGCAATCATCAGTGCACAACAAGCTGAGGACCTTAAGATGAAGGAAAGAGGAAGCGGGAGCGTGAGGTTGTAGATATTTTTCATTTCAAAACTTGCTTTTAAAACTTTTGTATTGTGCACATTGCTAAATGCTAAGATCTATTGAACAGAAAAATTTACCTCGAAAGAAACGTCGAAAACTGGAAGCTGCCAGAGAAATGTTGGAGGATCAAAGTGAAATTAATGAATCACATGTAAGTATCTCTTTCTTTTTTGGAATTCTTATCCAACTTTGTTGTTGGCAAACCTTTTTAGACTCTTTCCCTTCTTAACTGTCAAAATCAGTATGTTGTGGACTGGCAAGTTCTTTATTTTTACGAAATGCTAATATATGGGAATTGCAGGGTAGTGGGAAAAATAAGAAAGAGAAGGAAGGTATATCTTTGGTTGACTTGGCTTATCGGCGAGCAAAAGCAGTGAAGAAGGCAGTAGATTCTGGCAAAATTGTTAAGAAATCCAACAAAATGTCAAAGCGACCTAAATAAAGAACTCAATCAAGGACAGAAGAGATGCAGGAATTATTTCAAAATGACATAAGTGAGAGGAGGCAGAAAAACTCAAGTAATGCTGGAAGGAAAAAGTCCAAGAGTTCATTCAAGAGCAAATCACGGTATGAAACATGATATATTGCTATAATTTCCTGCCTTGTTTCTTTATAGATCTATACTAACTGTTTCTTGGTTCAAAATTAAGCGGGAGAACTTGGTTGCATATTAAACCATTAATTCTTTCGTTTTCAAATTTGTCTTGGCAATGTTTGCACAAATGTATTTTAGAAAAATTAGCATACATGCTTCAGCACAATTTCTTAGACTCCATCTCATGATGAACTTGATTTTACAGATCGGATTAGCATCTTAGTGTCTTTCCGTCTTTACACTAGCAAGTTCTCCAAGTAGATTCTACACCTGTTATTTCTGAATAACTTGAAGGAGGATGTTTTGCTTGGTGCAAATCATCTTCCTATTCTCAAGAATGTCTTGATTTTATTTTTCACTAAACTTTCCTTTTTGTTTTCCAGTTACAAGCGAAGGTAGTGTTAGTATGCTTTTATTAGACACATTTTGATTGAGGGGGAGAACTAGCTATTAGAAGATGGGATTACGTACAACAATGGTCAGGATCTGCCAGTCGGAAGGGACATGCCTGTAGTTTCTACAGCAACTGTAACTTTAGTATTAGTGTTCAAATGTTGATAGTTTCTGCTGATGTTTATTGTTGACTAAATTACTGACTATATATCCAATCCAAGTCAATTTTGTTAAAATTGTTTTTCTTTTTAATTCGTGCTGTCACCCTTCACCTGGTCTGTCAAGCTTTTTTTAGTAAATTTTGTTTACATGAAAAGAGCAAGGAGCATAAAGAAAACGAAGCAAATCATTACGAAAATGTTCTAAATGAACGAACAACGAAGAAAAGGGTAAAAAGAATGACAAGGTAATGACACTGGGCCACTTAATAATTTGGTAGAGGATTTATACAACTGTTAAGCATACGCAAACAGGCAAAATGAAATGTGACAAATAATATACATAGATTTCTAGCTGGCAATAACTGAAATAAGTAATGATGAATAACCAAAATTGTTCTCGCTAAAAGGAAAAGAAATGGTAAGAAAAGCACAGTTTCTTTATCTTTCTGTGACATAAAGGAAATAAGTTACACCTACATGTACCAAGCCTTCTGCGGTTGCAATGGCCTTCTTCTATGGAACGCAGAAAATGAAAACATGAAAATAAGGCAAAACTAAAACAATTAAAATCTAATTCCCCCAACTTTGGCAATCAACCTCATGAATCATATTACATTCGTCATTTCCCCGTTTTATTCAGTTCAACTCCCCTCCCACAAAAGTCAATGGGCTCTCCGATTTTCCAGGCATCTTTGGCAATGCAAGCATCAGTTAACTTGGACTTATGAGATGATCCAGAGGGAAGGAGGAGCAACGTAATATGAACTTACTGTTTCCATGGGAATTGCTGCTGTTTGTAGTTAAATGTGTATGGATCCCATCCACCATCCGGTTCCTTCCTTTTCATGGCGACCCCAGAACTAGAGGAGGCTTGTGTGTTTGCCCTCAAATGTTCTTCTATTGACCTACCTTGAGCAGGCATGAAAGGGTGCCTTAAACCCACGGACTCTGTATTTCCTCCCTCAATTGCTAATCCAAAATTCAGATCGAAATTAGGCTGTGAGGGGCCTGAACCATTTAAACCAGCACTCACATTGCTCATGCCCATCATGAACTGTGCTTGAGAGTAAGCTATTGGAACAGCTGGTGCAGAGCCCATAAGCTGAGGCACAATGGGTGCACCTGAATCAACGATATAGGGTATTGAACCACTAGCCCCATAAATGGCAGAGGAGGACATCTTTGGCGCCAAAGGCAGTCCGTTAGCACTAAAAGCAGGAGAATGTGTATATGACGCCGTGGGAACTAACCCCATAAACCCTGCAGTCCTTGAGATACTTCCATCAGTTGCCGGGTCAAGGGCCTTGCCATTTGGAAAGGATAAAATCTGAGAAACAAATTCATTCCTATTGACTTCCACTCTAGCACCCATTATAGAAATGACAGGATCATTGGGTTTAGGCCCTCCAACGGCAAGAGCATTTCGTGAAGATCTACCAGGATATGGTCTTAGTTCTAAGGCATTATTTTGACTATATGGTCTGTCATTCAAATCGAAGTTCCTCAGAGAAGACTGCATCGGTGATGACGAAGAAACAGATGATTGGCTACAATGGCCATTCCTGTCATAAAAATGTTGTTGCTCCACTCTTGAATCTAATGCTGTAGCATCACCATCATCGCTGATACAATTTAAATCCAGCTCAAGTTTCTCGGATTTTCTATGGTTTTCTTTTGAAGATTCAGCAGAATGGAGGTCTGATGAGACTGTAACCTGTTTTCCAGACATTAGTTCAGCACCTTGTTCATCAAGGGCCCCAGAAACATTGAGATCAAAATCAAGGCAATCCAGTCTCTGTTTTGAGCTATTGCTTGTTCCGCCAAGGGATAGAGTCTTATCACCATCACAGTTTCGGCGTGGTGATGCTGGGTGAAAAGCACTTGTGGCAGCAGATCCTTTCCATCCAAGAGTCCCCTCAAATTGCAGAGGAGCCGCAGGTAAGCAATGCACTGCAGCCGCCCTTGAAGCAGAAACCACCGAAACAGGGGTGGAGATGGAAGTTGCAGCACGTTCCATATCATCAGAACATACTTCTTGATTCAGATCAAAATCACATAGAATTTTCTCTGTGTTAGGCTCAGGATCTTGAGCTACAGTCACCTGAGAGGACTCCATGTCATGCAACTCAGTTTTTGGTTCATTGTCTGGATCATCTGAATTAATAATCCCACCCCCCTCAGTTTGCGCTCCAGCAGACTGAGTGGGTCCAGTTGACACCTCCTTTGGCAAGGCCTCGCTGGGTAGATCTTGCTTTCCATTTATGGATCCTAGGGCATTAGGTTCCCTAATACCACCTTCCGAAATCTTCTCTGAAGGGCTTCTGGAAAGTTCTCTGTCGTCTACGACTTCTCGTTCCACTTCTTGAGCAACTATCCGGGCAACTTCTAGAGCATCAACTATACCATACTTGAGCTCAATGTCAGATGTTGTATTGATCACAACAGGAGTACCGGTAAACCTAGAACCACCCCTAAAATTCTCAAATCCAATATTCTCCTTATCTTCTTCTGCTATTCCAATATCTGACTTCCCGGAAAATCTAGTCTCCAGATTCCCAGGCTTCTTATACATGAGCTGATACTCGGAGGAGCTCCGCAACATGCTCAAATGAGACTCAATGTCTTTGCCAGCAATCTTGAATAGCTGTGAACTATTGCCGGAATGATTCATTGCTTCCAGATCACCCACTGCTTTCTTTGGCTCAGAGCCATGTGTCTTCTCATCAGCAAGATTGACAGATTTTAGGACATGACTCCTATTGGCCTCAGAATCATTTTGGGAATTGGGTTCTGTTGTAATCTCCAGAGCACTTCCAACACCAGCATGCTCCACAGTACTAGAGTTTGAAGCTGTCACATCAAACAATTTTTCATCATTTGATAACCCATTCAACTTCTGAGCATCCAAAACTTCAATATCTTCTTTCTTTGAATCTGGTAAACTGCAGGTCTCACGGGATGTCTCTTCCACAGTTTTTGCATGGAGATCTTCCTTTTTGGGCAAATTCTCTTGAACAGGATTTGACACAAAAGAGGAGGCCACATGAGACAGATACCTGTTTTCCATGTTCGAATGGTCCGAATTTATGTGGGGTTGGAGCTCATCATTAGTAGTTTCAATGGGTAAATCTATGGCGCTTTCTGGTTGAACACAATCTTGGCATGAAGGAAGGTTTTCACTTTTTGCAGCATCTGCTCCATCATTTTCCTCATGGGAACTTCCTCTTGAAACAGAACCATCTTTGGCAGAACATTGTGGCCCATTATTTTCTCCGCTAACAGTAGCAGTACCTGAAATCTCATACTCAGGTCCACTACTGTCAACATGATCAGTAACTCTACCTTGTTTCCAGCTTTCAAAGAGCAACCTAGCACTGTCCTGAACTCGAGAGCTATCGTGGCCAAGAAGACTCTTCACCATAGTCCAGATCTCTGAAGAAACAGACGTCTCCCTATTTTTATGCAACTTTTCAAGAGCTCGTAAGAGTGCAGTAATTGATTCTTCCACAAAACTATCACTCGATTCATTACCAAATTCCTGAGCATCCTTCAGCCATCTGTCAAGAAACAAGAGTCCATCTAGTTGAATAAAAAGATCGAGACAATCTTTATTCTCGGTGGCTGCAATTGTGCTTGCAACAGCAGTCCACTGCCTGGTCACATCGCTGACATTTTTATTCACAGATTCTTTCTCCTCCTTCATTACAGTTACTAGCTCCTCAACTCGTGAAGGGACTGTGAGCCCATCTTTCATCTCAGCCAATGTAAAAAAATCCTCCAGGGTCATGGTGCTTCAGATGCAAAACCACTAAACAAAGAGAACTTTGTAATATACCGAAAATTTTTGTTCCATCTAGAACAGGAGGTGAAGCTTCTAGGTGAGAGATCTAAAAAGAAACCTGTAAAATGGCATGACACAATGGTTAATCACGTAGCTCCTCATCCCTAATAAAGTTCTCTGTAAAATTGCTAATCAATTATTTGGTATCAAATTAAAAGGGAAAGAAACATTGACACTATCAATATATCATCAACATAAAAAAGGACAAAATGAGCTAAAACAGCCGTATTATACCTTCCAAGCAAGCTGATCATGTAAAATCATATTAATTGTCAACAAAATACTAGACAAACATAAATGATGACAATCCTCAAAACCTGACATAAAAGAATTAACTAAAAGCTCAGGCTTTTAAAATTATCAGAACTAACAGATACTTGTTTGATATTGAGATAAATTGAATTTCAACAAAATAACAGACAAAACCTACTCTTAAAAGTTAAACCAACTGAAAAACCGAAGAAACAATTAATAGGCCCTTCCAGTTTCCGCTAAAACGGTAAACGGGGTAACGGAATATCAATTACCAAAGTGTACAGTGAAGATCTAAACCTAGAAACCAAAGCTCAGAAGAAACATCGATACAAAACCCTAGCTTCACAGCTATACACCTTGAAGAACGATTTGAATTTAATTAAGATTATCTTACTTAATGCCGAGATCCAGCAGACTCTAATAACACCAATCCCCAATGTGCAAGCAAAATTGATAAAAACCCATGTTTCCTTTTAAAAAAGAAACAATATATCGACAATTACAAGCAATATGCGTAGTTACCTTCATCGAAAACCTTAAAAAAAAAAGCAAAGAAAAACGAAACCCTAGCTCTGAAGCTGAGCTCCAATAGAGAGACGACACAGCACCTTTTTTGTCCCTGATAATGAAAAAAAAAACAAAAACAAAATCGCTCTCAAGTTTTTTTCGACCCTTTGGTTTTGAGCTTTCCCGAACCAGGTTGAGACGGAGAGAGAGAGAGAGAGAGAGCGACGTTTATTCCTCGAAATTATAATTTCATTTTTTTTTATTTTTTGGTTTAGGCTAATTTTGATTTTTACACTGTCAATTCTTGCGTTGGGTTTCGGTTTTGTTTAGCAGTTAAGAGAAACGGAAAACTACATCAATGGTCACTAATGTTTGATTAAATTTTTGTTTTTCCCACTGAAGTTTCAAAAACAATAAATTAATCACTAATATTATCGATTTATAACAAATAAATCACTTGCTGTTAACCGCCGTTAGGGTGAGGGACGGAAAACTTATGTGTTCTTCCCTTTGGAGAAGTTTGTGGCTGATGGAAAATTGATTAAGGTGAAGACATTTAAACTTCCGTCAGCAAAGATAACTGCTTCTGCTCCGACGAATAAGAAATGGACTGCTACTAAAGTGAAATCTAAACTTGCTATCAAATCTGGAAAGAGTTCTAAATCGACTTCTAAGAATCCGACAAAGATAATTAGTAGCACCATTTAAAGCATAAAATCCTGTAGTCTATTTTACATTAAGTGGTCGTGTTGTTTCTTGTTCTTCATATGCTTCTTGTTGAATCTCCATAACGTAATATAATGAAGATTCAAGCCATGAAAAACCCCATTTCACATGTTAAATAAATAAGCAAAGCTAATCTTGGTTTCTTACAGACATTCAAATGTAAGTTATCTCATGTTGTTCAAAACAAACAAGAAATCGTTATTTCTTGCATCACGTTGCTTCATTTTTTTGGCTGAGATTTATCCCATTAATAGGCTTGAATGTATTCGAGGATCATAGTCTTTACGACATACAATTCTCTTCAAACGAAGGTGTATTCTGCAACATTTTTGTACGATGCCTAAGAGAAAATTTCTTTGGCGTTCTTGACAATGTAAGTTGAGATTTCCGCCATGGTTGCCATGAAGTAATGAACTAAGCTTTCAATTTCCTCACCATTTTCGAAAATAAAATAAATTCAAACTGAACATGCTTCTTCTTTTGAACCAAATATCAGCACCCACTTGTATGAAATAATATTGCAGAAATGTAAAGAAAATGAGAAAAAAAATCATTTTAACATATAACTATTCTGAATGTAAAATTATCCTCAAATTGATACACCCATCCACCGGAAGACTCGATAAATTTTATAACATTGATTTGAATTCCTGTGGTGTTTTATGTGTGGGTTTCTGTTATTTTGGTCAAAAGTAAAATGCTTGTCGTAGGAGAGGAAACAACTCCAGCCAAGGTAAGAGAAGGCTTAATGGTAAAGCTTTTCGAGCTCAGCGAGATGATAGTATTAGGCAAACAATACATGTTTCTGATATTGATCAGAATGTAAGCTTAACCAGTGACACCATTTCTTTTTTGGGGTTTCATTCTGATTGGTGAAGTCACTTTTGAAAATCATTTCTTTCAGGTTGCTAAAGACCAACTTGCTGGCTTATTCAGTAATTGTGGACAAGTAAGTTAAAGTTCTGGCTTTAAAGTTTCTATGATAACTCTGTTTGTTCCTCCATAAGGTTGCATCTTGCACAAGCACAACCTCATTCCTTATGGGGCTATAAATGAAAAGAGCTCGAGGAACTACTCGTGATATGTTCGTTTATTAAGCTAAATTAATGTATATGAAAGAAAATTTTATGTTTATTCATCAAATGAATGAGTTCGAATAGATGTGTGTTCGGTTAATTTTTGTTTGCAAACAAGCTTGCTTATTAGTTCACTTATAATCTCCTTTATTGGTTTGTTTATCTATATTTTGATATTTTTCTATAAAAGATACTTAATAAATATTTATATTTATTTTGATTATTTTATATCTAAAAGTTTAAAATTAGATTCATTTATGGTTTGTTTGTTTATTATTCATGAAAAGATTTTTAATTGTTTGTGAACATGTTCAATCATATGTTCATGAACATATTTTTGAATATGTTCGTTCAATATGTTCACGAACATTAATGAACACTTCTATATTTAAGTAAACAAACATTAACGTGATTATGAAATCCTTAACGATTATGAATCATACCTAAACAAGCTTAAAAATAAATAAGCATACATGAATAAAAGCTTGTTCGTTCAAACTCGGCTCATTTACCACCCTAATTTATTCTCTCATACTACATGTGGAATGATTTACAATAATGTTCTAGCTTTATCACTTAGCTCCATATCTCTCTATGTTTTTCCACTTTTGTATCTTATTAAGGCATGGTTCTGCGTTTCATAGTTTGATTTTTTGTTTAGAGTCTCATTAAAATTCCAAAAGAATGGATTAAGGATTGTCCCATGAAAATTATATATTCTTTTATTATTTGAATATTTTATTTACATTTATATTTTTAATTTATTTTTTTCCTTACAATCTTACAATTTTTATAAATTGATTTTTTATAACAATTGGAAGTTTAACAACAACCACGTACAGTTTATTATTCAAAATTATTATAATCAATTTAATTTATTAAACTTTTACCGATAGTTATAAATTTATACAGAATATATGCTTTAAAAACACTGCAGATAAAGAAGACAAAAATTTGTTCAACATTGTCACAAAAAATATAAAATTTTGATTATTGAACTTATAAGTTACATAGAAAATGAAAGTTTTAGTATGTGAAGGCAAATGCGAATAGGAAACAGTATTCGAAATAGGGTACAAACCTGAAGGAGAAGCCGATTGATAGGAACACACATAATCTCGTAACCAAGAAGGAGGCTTAGACACTCTAGACGAAACACGAGTAGGAACAGAATTAGGAATAGGCTGATGAACATGAAGAGTAGGACCGTTATGAGCTGAAATTTCTGTTGAAGCAGGGGAATCATGAGATGAATTAAGGATAGGAGAATCATGAGCCAAAGGTGAATCATAGCCCAAAACTGGGATAGAAGGAAAAAAAAGTAGAAGACTTATCAATAGGAAACCCAAATGGAAAAATCTGCTCATGAAAAATAACATCTCGATTAATAAAGAAAGAACGAGTCTCAAGACTCAACAACAAATACCCTTTTTGAGAAGCAGAATAGCCAAAAAAAAAACAGCAGAAATGACCCTCGAAGCAAACTTATCTCTATTATTAGGTCTAGTTGCATAGCACAAACACCCAAAGACACACAAATGAGACAGATTAGGAGATTTATCATACAAAAGCTCAAAAGGAGTTTTCCATTTTAAAACCGTCGTGGGTAGTCGATTAATCAGATAACACGCAGTAGAGACGCACTCACCCCAGCTAGAAAGAAAAAGGAAAAGTCGGTTATGAGACAAAAATTATTAACCCAAAAACTTGATAACAGGCTACGTGATAATAGACCAGGCCCACATAGTCGAAAACCCAAATGAAAAAAACTAGCTGCTGATACTATGTTGAATGCACATATCGCATATACCGGGAAGTGTAAATCAATTGTTATATGAAAACTATCAACACTACAACCTTTATATACAAATACATAATAACCAACTACTTGAACTAACTTGCTGACAACCCTATCTCCTAACTATACATATCTCAACAGTAACGAGGAATATAAATTATTTTATTAAAATTTTATAATTTATAAAAAATTAAAATTTGATAAATATGTTGTAATTTTTTATATATCTTTTCAAAAAAAATATTTTATTTTATTTTTCAAAATTATTACTTATAAATATTTAAAAATTAACATTAAGGTTAAATAATTTATTAATTTAATATATATCATATCTTTTTAATGAAAAAACTAACGACAATTAATAATATAGGAGACAGGATCTAATTCTATTTACCGTAAAACTAAAAATTTGATGAGAGAAATTAAAAATTTATTAAAAATAATAATAATAATTAAATATATTTCTTAAAAAGTAAAAATAACTTTAATTTTTAATTTCTCTTATCTAACAATCATAAAAATGTATAATTATTTATTTTATGTCCAATTACTCCAAAGCATTCACCTCGACGGCCCCACAGATCAAGTTCATTCGATCTAGAAGGGATGTCATATTGTCAAATGGTTTTCATCGAATAAACCAAAATAATTAAATGCAGCCTAAAAATGACCAATGATCAAACCCCTGGCTTTAAAATATATGGTCGGTGCATTTAAAGGGATTAAACTCACGTCACCGCCTGTAATACGATTATAAAATATCTGGGGGACACGGCGGATTGACAGGGAGATGGATGTACCATTCAATTTTGGTTAATATATAATTAACAAGTCACCTAGAACATATTAAACGCGATATTTATAGAATTAAATCATAATTGTTAATTGTTTTATCCAATTATTGTCTTGAGAGTTGAGACTGTTCCTTTGCGCCAAAGATGCTCTGCTTTGGGTTTTCAATTCATTACCACAGCTTTATTTTTTTTGTTCTTATTATATTTTTAATTCAATTAATTAACTATAAAAACAAATTGACCTACGGTCTCCTTTCTTAATATCAGTAGTTAGCACCTCCAATATGAAAACCCGAAGTCAAGAGTCACAATAAATACACCCTTACTTGCATTTTATATTGGATTTTTTTTATAAATATATAAACTAAGTTGGCGTTTCGTTCATTGGTGGATGATGGATCAAATCGATAAACTATAGTATTGGTAAAAACAAAAACACATGATATCGTTTATGAGATGTTTCCATCTATTACATTTTCAGCTATAATTACATTGCGTAATATGATGATATATACATTTAATAAATAATATTGAGTAAAGGAGGTTTAGAGGGTGCAAATGAATCGAGTTTTAACGAATAAGATTGTATTTATGTTTATTTGTTTATTTTTAAAAATGTTAATATTTGATTCGTGTTCATTTAAATTTTAATATTGTGTTCGTTCGTTTAGAGTTCACGAACATATTCGTAAATATGTTTGTTTAATATTTATAAACATTTTCATTTAAAATTCATGAACATGTTTATTTATATATTCATAAATTAATCAAAACTAACTAAATAAATCCTATATAACATTCACAACAATAATACAATACAATCTTTAAATCCCAAGTTCCACCATGT